GAGAGAGGGGAAGAGCAATTTCTATGCCTCTGCCTTAACTCTCCCTGCCTTCCTAGATTTGACCAGTGTTTTGGTTTCATCTACATACGCTTGTGAATCTTTGTTCTCAGTGATGAATTTTGTTAAGTCTCGTAATAGGAGTAGCCTGACGGATGAAAGTAGTAGCTCGTGCATATCTCTGAAGGTCACGAAATATAAACCTGATGTAAAATCTCTGTCATCAGTGATGCAGCAGCAAAAGTCCCACTGATAATATCAAACGGAGTCATAAAGTTTTCTGTCGGACTATCAGTGTACATGTATACATTAAAAAATAAATGTATTTTTCATCATCATATACTGTGTTTTTGTCGCTTGAATGAATTTTATTATTTCTTCAAGGTTCTTCACATACGTACACCTTAAGAGATATCAAGTAGGCGTAACATGTTCTCAAAAAATTAGGGTTGGCACACAGAAGAATTTTGAGTCAGAGATTTTGCTGGTTTTGGCACGCACTCACAAAAAGGTTGCCCACCCCTGCTCTATACACACTAGAAAATAACTTTTTTATTTATTTGCACTGTGCTAAATATGAGAATGTTTAACAATGTGCCATTTTGTATTTGAAAGCTTTTTCCAGTGGTTTTGCCTTTTGCAATTGCTTCAATAGTACACTGCATTGCTCTCTTTGACATGATCCAGTAACTTTAAAGGCAGTATCATGGTAGACAAATATTGAGGTGTTAAATAATCCATGGTAACTTGAACAGAAAGTTAAGAAATTTAAGTTAATAAATCAACAGAATAAGGCAAGGAGATATGTGTGCAAAAACTATGGTATATTTACACAATGGAATACTACACAGCTATAAAAAAGAAGGAACTCTTACCATTTGCAACAGCATGGATGAACCTGGAGAGTATTATCCTAAGTGAAATAAGCCAGTCAGAGAAAGACAAGTATCACATGATCTCACTCATATGTAGAATCTAATGAACAAAATAAAATGGTGAACAAAATAGATCCAGAGACATAGAAGCATGGAACACACTGTCAAATCTCAGAGGGAAGGTGGGGGAGGCTGGGTGGGTGGGAAGAGGTCAACCAAAGAACTTGTATGCATATATGCATAACCTGTGGACACAGACAATAGTGTGGTGAAGGCCTGGGGCAGTGGGGGGGGTGGTTAGGGGGCAGGCTAGAAGAGGTCAATGGGGGAAATAAGGGGACATATATATTACTTTCAAGAATAAAGATTTTTAAAAATTAAAAAAAAGACTCAGTGAAAGAGAGAACAATGTTTTAACCAAAGGGTAGAAGAAATAGAAAAAAAGAACACAGTGTGGTTCCATTTACATGAACTTCTAGATCTGGCAAAAATAATCTATAGCAATAGAAGGTGGTTGCCTGGAGTTGGGAGGGGAGTAGGAGGATGAAAACATTCTATCCTCCTGGCTTGGCATTTACACAGGTGTGTATACCTTTATCAAAACTGATCAAACTCTATATTTAAACTATGTACATTTTATTATAATAAAATTATACTTCATTAATATACAGTTTTTAAAAATCAAAGTAGGCAGTAAAGGGTACCATTGGGTTTGAATGTGGTGATTTTTAAAAATATTTATTTTTATTGATTTCAGAGAGGAAGAGAGAGGGAGGGAGAGATAGAAACATCAATGATGAGAGAGAATCATTGATTGGCTGCCTCCTGGACGCCCCCTACTGGGGATTGAGCCCACAATTCGGGCATGTGCCCTGACCAGGAATCCAGCTGTGAATCAAATCTGACTTCCTGGTTCATAGGTCAATGCTCAACCACTGAGCAACACTGGCTGGGCAGAATGTGGTGACAGTTTAATCCTGAGTGAAAGATTACTCTCTTCTTTTTAAATATTGAATATCCAGGTCATGCCAAAGAAGCACATTAAGTTCTTTTGTAATGCTAGCATTTATTCCGTCTACTCAGGATTTAGTATTGCCATTTTACTGATGACTTTTAGCCACAGTAAGATAGGTATTTCTGTGGTAGATATTCTACTTTAAATGCCTGTTCTTTTCCTAGTGTTTCAACTGAGGAAAAATGAAGCAGGAAACTTATCAATTACATCTTCACAGGGTTCTTAATGACTTTTAAAGCACAATTTTGAATTGAAAGTACTATTTTATAATATCCTTCCTTAGGGAAGGCTAATAGCAAAATAAATAACTTTTGTAGGAAAAGTAGAATAAAATTTGCCTTGAACAATCACAAAATTACCCTTAATGTCACTTTATAAACCAGTTATAAGCACAATCAGAGGTAATAGGATTGCACAATTGAAAAATATTTTATGCACTACTTTTATAGGAAGATATTATATAATGTTTGAATTAATGTATAGAGCCAGGTTGTGGTCAGGAGTATTTCTCTTTCCTTCTAGAGTCACTGACCTGAAAAGGAAAAAAAAAATTATCGAAATAATGTGGGAACTTAAAAATAACAGTTTGGTAAGATGGATAAAAACTTGAAATGACAGAAAGTTGATAATAAAATATATCTCAGATTTATGTATAAATAGCTGAGAAAAAAAGACTGGAAAAGGAGAGCATATGATAGAGGCAAAATATTAATATTAAAATGCTAATGGTCTTGGGGGAAGGGCAAAGCAAGTGGGGCTAAAGAAAGAGACATAAATTAAGAAAATATATCATTTCACCTAGACTTTTTCAAAATTAATTAGAAATGTACAATTTTAGAAATGTACAATAAAATTTTAGAAACATTAGAAAATATATTTTCAGTTGATGTCTTAAAGAAAAATTTTAAATTATAAGATTGCTTGCTTTTTAATGAAAGAGCAGAAATGCTTCATTAGAAGATATCTCAATCCTCCCCCAAGGGGTGGGGGTGTGTGCAATTAATAAATCCTTCATGAATAAATGGTGTAGCAATCCTAGCTCACATTTGTTCTGACTGCAATGTCACAGATAACCACTAGGGGGAGGTAATTTCACCGGCAGCTGTTCTCTGGCCACAAACGTTTTATTCCCTGGAAGGGTACTTGTACAATTAGGTAAAATTAAGTGGGAGCTACAGCAAGTAGAATGGGTCACTATTGTGTATTGAAATGATTTCATGCTTGACTGTAATTCTACCTAAAATTTTTAATGTACAGACTAATAACTTGGCCACCAGCTTCTTCAATGAAAATAGAGTTTCATCATTGCTCAATGATTGCTATTTTATACCTCTGCTTCTTTAAACATGCTAGGTAGAACCAGTTTTATGTATTTTTCATGAAGAAATTATTTTTATTTGCTATAGGTCTCCTACCATTTCATTAAAATAGAGGATTGATGTGATAATATGTTCTCACATATTTATTTCAATAAATCTTTGTATTATTTGGAGCTGTAAGAGAGACATGCAAATGCTAGTTCAAATTTATAATATTAAATGTATTTTCTGAAATTTAGATTAAAGTTGCAAGACTTTTACCCAAGTGGGTTTTCACTAATTTGAAGTCAGAACTTATTTTTATTTATTGTCATAAGGAATGAAAAATACAAAGATTTGTTGTTATAATTCATTGTATGGATAATCTATTGTTGGATGATTAAAGGAGTAGTTGCATTAAAATATTTAAATGTAGCTTTAGAATTTATTACTTAAGTTTTTTCTATTGTACTTCAAATTATGGTAACATACCTTTGTGAGCTAATAAAATATTTCAATGTCTTCAAAAATTTGATAATAATTCCTATGTATTTTTCATAACTCTAATGGCTGCTAATCACTTCATTTTACTTACTTGGATGAATAGCGGAATTCGCTTTTTAGGGGGGGAAAAACTTTTTCTCTACCCTCTTGGGTTCTGTAACTGAGCTAGGCAAATTAAACTGACAAAAGAGATTAACCGGTGATAAAAGTTTGTTTCATATGTATATGGGAGTCAAAAAACAAAGGAGCTGGCTTGTTCAGTTGTTCAAATTAAAAGCTTATATACATATCTACTTTAGTGGTGAGGGGATGGGGAGTGAGGAAAGTTTTCCATAGGAAAAACAAATAGGTTTCTTTAGGAAAGACAAATAGGTTTTTAAAAGAACAAACAGGAGGTAAGGTTTGTCTGTACAGCTATGACCTGTCTTTCTGTCTCCTTCAGAGCTATAAAATTCCCCTGGAGAAGGGATTTATGGTAGCCTCATTTTCCAGAAGTTGCTGCTCTTAGTCAGATGAGGGAAGCTCTGGGTCCCCTCCCTTCTGCCCCCCCCCCCCGACACACACACACATGGCATCTGTTGAATCTCAAAATGTCTTCAACTTAAAATAATCTTTATACCAACTCTGGGGCTCTGAGTGGGTTCCCACAGCTTTATATTTTGAGAACATCTTTGTATTTAAAACTTTTTGGTTATGTTTTATGTGCTTTGGGAAGCATTTTATGATGAACACATGTTAAATATTAATGTGGTTACACCTAATTTATTTTTCCTACTGCATGAATGTCGCTGGCTAATATGTTTTGTTTTCACATCCTCAAATGTATAATGTCAATAGACACTTTAAAAATAATTGGTACTGAAATGGTGATTCAGATGTTATTTCCCCTTCTAGCTTCTAATATTGTTTTAGTACCTATTGGTAAATACCATTTAAGTACTTCTGGTCTGCAATTATTTTATGTAAAATAATGTTTTCTCTTAATATCAGATTTAGAATTTTGCTAATTCTTTTATAACACTTAACTGGTATTTCATTTCCACTTTAACGGAAGGTCTGACACTGACATAAATGAGACTGTCTTTGTTCAGGTACTTATGGATATCAGCCTCATTACTTTTCAGTTATGCTTTATATGTAAATAGTGTAAATTGTTATCCTAAATAGCACCTTACTGATAGAGTTCTTATTGTATTTTTTTTAAATGTTTGCTTTTAGGGTTATCAACCAATCAATATCCACGAGCATCTATAGGCCAACCATCACCATCCTTCAAAAATAATTGTAAGTATACCCATACACATATCTCAGGACTCTTATTTTGCAATAATATCAACCATTATATTTAAGGTGTTCTTATTATTTGCTAATGTAGACCTACTTTTGAACCAGTAAAACATTTGCCATTAATGATTTACAATATTTGAAGGATATTATTTAATGCAACCTAAAAAATTTCAGGCTCATTTATTACCAAATAATGTGTTAAACAGACACCTTTGACAAAGCATTTAGCCACTATCCTGACTTTATATGAAATAAATATAAAATAAGTTAGCATAAATAAGAACAATTAAGTTAATGAAGACAAAATGTGAATGTTCAGTTTTCTCCTTCAGAAACAAACTCATATCCAAGATTGGGGCATAGGAAATTCAGCTATTGTTTTTCTATTATAAATTTTAGAAAGCAAAGCTCTTAAAACTAGTCTTCATAAATGGTCCTAAAAAATCTCAGGAGCAGTAGGTAAGACTTAGAAAACTGTTTCTCAAAAGGAGGGTATCAAGTTATAAATGCTGAACAACACTGATCCAGAGAACTGACAACTTTGCATTCTGTAGGCTTCCTGAGCATGATATTACAAGTTAGGCAAGGTGGTCAAAATCAAATCCCAGATGGCACAGGGAATACTTAATTAAATCTCTGATAGTTCTTAGAGTCATCTTATCTAATAAAAGAGTAATATGCAAATTTACCATCACTCCAACACAAAAGATGGCTGCCCCCATGTGGTCAAAGATGGCCACCACAAGATGGCCAGCAGGGGAGGGCAGTTGGGAGGGACCAGGCCTGAAAGGGAGGGTAGTTGGGGGTGACCAGGGCTGCAGAGGCGGGCAGTTGGGAGCAACCAGGCCTGCAGGGTAGGGCAGTTGGGGGGGGGGCAGGCCTGCAGGGGAGGGCAGTTGGCGCCCAGGCCAGCAGGTGAAGGCAGTTAGGGGTGACCAGGTTGGCAAGGGAGGGCAGTTAGGGGCGACCAGGGCAGCAGGAGAGAGCAGTTAGGGGAGACCAGGCCAGCAGGGGAGGGCAGTTAGGGGTGACTGGGCCAGCAGGGAAGGGCAATTGGGGGTGACCAGGCCTGAAGGGGAGGACAGTTAGGGGTGACTAGGCCTGCAGGGAGGGGGGGCAGTTAGGGGAGACCAGGCGTGCAGGGGAGGACAGTTAGGGGTGACTAGGCCTGCAGGGAGGGGGGGCAGTTAGGGGAGACCAGGCGTGCAGGGGAGGACAGTTAGGGGTGACTAGGCCTGCAGGGAGGGGGGGCAGTTAGGGGAGACCAGGCGTGCAGGGGAGGACAGTTAGGGGTGACTAGGCCTGCAGGGAGGGGGGGCAGTTAGGGGAGACCAGGCGTGCAGGGGAGGACAGTTAGGGGTGACTAGGCCTGCAGGGAGGGGGGGCAGTTAGGGGAGACCAGGCGTGCAGGGGAGGACAGTTAGGGGTGACTAGGCCTGCAGGGAGGGGGGGCAGTTAGGGGAGACCAGGCGTGCAGGGGAGGACAGTTAGGGGTGACTAGGCCTGCAGGGAGGGGGGGCAGTTAGGGGAGACCAGGCGTGCAGGGGAGGACAGTTAGGGGTGACTAGGCCTGCAGGGAGGGGGGGCAGTTAGGGGAGACCAGGCGTGCAGGGGAGGACAGTTAGGGGTGACTAGGCCTGCAGGGAGGGGGGGCAGTTAGGGGAGACCAGGCGTGCAGGGGAGGACAGTTAGGGGTGACTAGGCCTGCAGGGAGGGGGGGCAGTTAGGGGAGACCAGGCGTGCAGGGGAGGACAGTTAGGGGTGACTAGGCCTGCAGGGAGGGGGGGCAGTTAGGGGAGACCAGGCGTGCAGGGGAGGACAGTTAGGGGTGACTAGGCCTGCAGGGAGGGGGGGCAGTTAGGGGAGACCAGGCGTGCAGGGGAGGACAGTTAGGGGTGACTAGGCCTGCAGGGAGGGGGGGCAGTTAGGGGAGACCAGGCGTGCAGGGGAGGACAGTTAGGGGTGACTAGGCCTGCAGGGAGGGGGGGCAGTTAGGGGAGACCAGGCGTGCAGGGGAGGACAGTTAGGGGTGACTAGGCCTGCAGGGAGGGGGGGCAGTTAGGGGAGACCAGGCGTGCAGGGGAGGACAGTTAGGGGAGACCAGGCCTGCAGGGGAGGGCAATTGGGGGTGACCAGGCCTGAAGGGGAGGACAGTTAGGGGCAACCAGGCCAGCAGGTAAGGGTAGTTAGGGGTGACCAGGCTGGCAAGGGAGGGCAGTTAGGGGTGACCAGGGCAGCAGGAGAGGGCAGTTAGGGGTGACTGGGCCAGCAGGGAAGGGCAATTGGGGGTGACCAGGCCTGCAGGGGAGGGCAATTGAGGGCAACCAGACCTGAAGGGGAGGACAGTTAGGCGCTACCAGGCCAGCAGGCGAGGGCAGTTAGGGGTGACTAGGCTGGCAAGAGAGGGCAGTTAGGGGCAACCAGGCTGGCAAGGGAGGGCAGTTAAGGGCGACCAGGCCAGCAGGGGAGGGCAGTCAGTTGTGACCAGGCTGGCAGAGGAGTGCTGTTAGGACAATCGGGCCGGCAGGGGAGCAGTTAGGCGTTAATCAAGCTGGCAGGGGAATGGTTAGGGGGTGATCAGGCTGGAAGGCAGAAGCAGTTAGGGGCAATCAGGCAGGCAGGCAGGCAGGCGAGTGGTTGGAAGACAGCAATCCTGGACTGTGAGAGGGATGTCCGACTGCCCTTTTAGGCCCGATCCTGGTGGGCAGTCGGACATCCCTTGAGGGGTCCCAGATTGGAGAGAGTGCAGTCTGGGCTGAGGAACACACCCCCCACCCCCATGCACGAATTTCATGCACTGGGCCTCCAGTATACATATATTTAAAACTACAAAAATGTTTTTAGAATGATACTGCTGAGAAAAGAACTGATAAGATCATAGAGGTTAATTTATTTTGACAGTAAAATTTTAATAGGCTTTTTTAGTATAAAATTACTATATATTCATTATATAAAAGATTAAACAATCAAAAATAAAGGAGAAAGTGGAAGTCTATCAAAATTGGATAGAGGTTAGGGATGGAATAGACTTGGGAATGTCTGTTATACACATTATTAATGATCAAAAAAGAAAAGAAAAAAAAAGTGATTTTACATCAAGACAGTTGCATTAAAATGGCTGCATTATGATATAGCCATTATAATGTTAAGATGGCCAACATCAAATTGTCCTGCTATGTTGTTTATTGACTCACCATTTAAGATGATGACAAAGGTTACACTTCCTTTGTTTAATATGTATTGAAAAAGTTCATGATATTATAGGCAGCTTTCCATGGAGGAAAAAATGAAATTCAGAAAGTGTAAAATGTACAATTTTAAAGAGCCCCAGTAGCTGTTCTGAGCATGCACAGGAAGCCACTCATTGTAAGTCTGTGAAGATCTGAGTTTGCCTGCAGATGTTTTCACTGCATTTGTGAAACGAGTTAACGTGGACATGAAGGTAAGTTCACACTCTCCGGCTTTAAACAGTGTTCATACAAGGCCATCCCACTTATATCAATGGCATAGTAATCCCTGCCTGGTAGTAAAAACCAAGGTCAGCTTTAGTAGAATATGAAAACTAATTTCATCTTTAGTATCTTCCTTTCAGCACTATCTATCCTTACCATATTGTCTCCATAACGATTACTCCTTGCTCTTCTCCCAGGCCTGTGCACCCCTCTTTACACACAGGCCTGCTGACACCTTGCTCTTACCCACCTGCTAATTGGAGAATATTTGATACACAAATTCATCCCAATGGGGCAAATACCTAACAAGCCTATCCCATCCAGAGAGAGACACATTTTAACATTGAAAATGTGGCTCCAGCCATTGAATTCCCTCATGGGCTGAAAGGAAAAATATGCCCCAAATCTCATCATGTAAGTTTGTAAGGTTGTTCTTTCTTCACTTCTCCACAAGGCTGGCATCTCCAGGGTGTTTTAGTGACATGAAAAATTTACGCACAGGGTATACTTAATGTAAAAGGTTAGAAATTGGTTATTAATGGTGAATAATTACTAATGGCATTGAATGTGTTCATTTTCACTGTACCAAGAGCTTTATTATAATGGCTATACATCTACAACCTGAAATTCTTCAAGTGTTTAAAATGTGGGTCCCTGGTGATTTCTGTGGCTATTTTAAACTATGTAAGATTCCATTGATCATAAAAAAGAAAAGTCAGTTGACCTGATTGGTTTTTAGCTATCACTCAAACTTAGTAATACCTTTCCTTAAGCCCTAATGTTACCTATGCTACTATGATGTATATATATATGGTGAGTGATATCCCCACAAAGTAATAACTTAGGTAATGCATTCAATGTCTCCTGTGAAAATGATCACTTGGACAGCTGTGCTCCTCCTGAGCTGGATAAGGTTTGTAATATCAGTAAGTATTAAAGGTAAACATTATTTTTTTCCCTGTAAAATCCTATTTAAGGCTTCTTCACAGAGAAGACTGATGTAATGAAGAAATGGTGTACATACATCGCCTTTACAATGTCATGGCGGGATTTATACTTGTCACTCTCTTAACACCTATATTAACAAAATTTTATCTTTCTATCTTTTATTTATGTGGCTTTGTGTTACTACAAATAAATACAGCTTTACTTAACAGGATTTTGTTTCAATATCAGTTCTCTGATATATACCTGAGTATATCAGAGTTCTTTACTCTAGGTTACTAAATTAGTTTTAGACATAGATGCTAATGAAAATCAAATATTACCTACATTGATAGACTTTTCCCTTATTTCACTTTGCAGTGCATTTTAGTTAATTTCTTTCTTCACAAATATTTTAATTTCTTGGTTTTAATTAAAAGTAAATATATTTTATTGCTGTTCAACTCTTTGTTTGGTTAAAGTAAATAATACGTAATCAAAGCTCCCAAAAGGTATACAGAATTTGTGTTAAGTAATATCATACTTAATATCATAGTGTGTCCTGTGCAGAGTATATGCCTTTTATATCACCTATAGGAACTAACAGTGTCTTGCACATAA